TATAATCTACCTATTTTAGGCTTGTCATATCTGAGATGACAGTTGTGTGCCACTAGTCCTGCCTCTTTGCCTTGAGATGGAATCTCAAAAGGTTTTTTTTTTTTAAAGTCTGGTTGTGGGGCCTGAACTCTGGGCCTGGGCGCTGTCCCTCAGCTCTTCAGCTCAAGGCCAGCGCTCTACCACTTAAGCCACAGCACCACTTCTGGCTTTTTTCTTTTTGCTTATGTGCTGCCGAGGAATCGAACCCAGGGCCTCATGCATGCAAGGCAAGCGCTCTACCACTGAGCCACCTTCTCAGCCCTCAAAAGGTTTTTTTGCACAGGCTGTCCTGAAACTGCAATCCTCCTACTAAGATACATACACCTAAGATAGGCATGTGCCATCTATTGGTAGAGAAGGGGTCTTAAATGTATGTGTAGGCCTGGCCTCCAACTACTATCCCTCCAAAGCTAGGATTACCAGAGGAAACCTCTGGCACCTGGCCCTTGTTTTACTGAGGATGGAAACCAGGGCCTTTGTGCATGATTAGCTGCCACTAAGCTATATCCTCAGCCTTGAGAGCTTTTATTAGGTATTACCAGGATCAACTTAAATAAACATGTGGTCTTTTTTTTCCTCCTTGGATCTACTGTCCGTGAATACAATGAATTGATCTGAACTAGATTCCCTATTCAATTCAGTCTCCAAACTATATCAATTTTAAATACATTAAAAGAGATGGATGGCAGTTCAGAAAGTGAAGGATAGCATCAGTACTTGTGTGTGTGTGTGTGTGTGTGTGTTGACTTTGAACCATGATTCTCAGATCCCAGGTACCTGAATAGCTAGGATTATAGGTAGGAGCCACTGGTGTGTAGCTGACCATGATTTTTGCCCTGTGACATCCAGCCAAGTAAGATACTTATTGGAATGTTTTAAGGCTTGAAGGTAAATTTGTTTCTGAGCAACATAAAACTGATACCATAAGACACCTTCTCAAGGAACTGGCCAATTAGTTCCTCTACATTGTCAAATTGATTTACAACTGATTTATAATTACAGTATATCCACTTATTATCCTTTAACGCCTGCACAGTTTGTAGTGATATCCCCTTTCCTCCCTAATATTGGTGCTTTATACCTTCCCTCTTTATCAAAAAACTATCTTTTAGTTTAATTGATTTCCTCTAATTTTTGTCTTCAATTTTATTGTTTCTGCTCTTATCTCCATGATTTCCACTTCTTCTGCTTTCTTTGGGCTTTATTTAACTCTCTTCATTTACTAGATATTCTGTAAATTACTTTTTATGTTTAATCTGTTCCCTAATCATACATTTACGTAATTTGCTTTGTAACAATGGCTGTTTCACAGCCACCACGCCATGCTTCTGAGCCCCAGAGAAACAAAACATAGTTCTGGCCCTTTTCCTCCCCTGGCACTTTCCCATCCCTTCACCCTCCGGCTTTGGCTGCTTGTTCAGCATCCCCATTTGAACACTGCATCATGAGATACTTTGATATAAACATATCCCATCTGTGTTTGCCAAAGTCTCCTCTCCCCTCCTCTTCTACCTTGCCCACATTCCTTTCAACTCAAGCCCAGTGCTGCTTGTGCTTCACACCTCCTTGGTGCAGCTGCCTTCTTCCCACCTGCTCTGTCACCACACTAGTGCCACCATCCACAGCTGCATGGATTCTTCATCCACAGCTGCATGGATTCTTCATCCACAGCTGCATGGATTCTTCATCCACAGCTGCATGGATTCTTCATCCACTGGATGGTCTCCTGCTAACACTCATCATGGGCTCCAGTCACTGCAGGTCTCTCCTTTGCCCTGGAAATCCTTCCCACAGCCGGCGAGCCTCCTTCCCTGGCCCACTCTTCTGCCTCTCTCAAGAAAAGCCAACTCTTGACTCTATTCTCCTTGAGAGACCAGTTGCTCCTGTCTGAGGACTTCTGCCCCAGCTCAGCTCTTGGTGTACAGAGCACTTGCTCATGTTGTTCACGGCTTCCTGACAGCCTTCATTCCCTGACAGTGTTTTGCTGTCCTTCATGTTGCCACACTCACTATGCTTACTTGTCACTGTCTTGCTCAGAACAGTGTGGAAGGGATGTGTCAACATGTGAACAGTAGCCAGGGCTGCCCAAAGCCGTCCCATGACCCCTGCCTCATGACTAGGCTACCAGCCCCAGAGACATGGTCCACACTGTCCAACTCAATTGCACCTTTGCTCTCCTGGCTCCTCATCCTTATTGCTTCCTCCAGCAGAGCGCAATCTGTGGGCTCCTCACTGGACTGCTTTCCCCACCTCTCCAGGCTCTCCTGTGTCTTCACGGTGCTGAAACCTCCACCTTTACCTTGCCTGTCCTTTGAGTCTCTTTCTTGAATATCATCGGCTCTGGGAGGTCTTCCCTGACCTCCACTAGAGGCCTTCTCAGTTCCATTACACCCCTTGCTGTCCTGTGCCTGTCTCCCGACACACTGAGCTCTGTGAAGACACAGTATGGACTCATTAACCTCAGAACTCCAAGACTTAGCACTTACCAATCCATACAATTTGAATACAAGAATGAACAAGTGAATTAATGAAAACCAAACTTGAAGGTGTGTGTGTGTGTGTGTGTGTGTGTGTGTGTGTGATCTCACCACCATCCGACTCCTTATCTCTGTCATCTTTCTCTGAGGGCTCACTTCCGCTCAGGAATAGGGCATCAACAGTCAAGGGTGGGAGCCAGCCATAGCTCTCAAGTCATTCTCACTCTCGAGGTCAAGAGCCCTGTGGCCCAGCATGTGGCAGGAGGAAGAGAAGCAGCAGCAGCTTCTAGGCTCTGGTCAAAAGAAGTCACATCATCCAGTTTTAGTGGCTGCAGTACCATTACTATTTGCTGCCTAACTTCACCTCCAAGCCTCACTTCCTAGCCACAGTACCCAGGATGGCATTTAAAAGAAAGGCAAAGAAGGGGTTCCCTCCAGATAATAATCAAAGATGCATCGAGTGGCCTAGACCAGAATCCTGGGTCACCTGCTCCCTCACTTCTTGGAATTCCCAAGACAAACCTGAATTAGGCCAATCTCCCCATCCCAAGGGAGTTGGGGAAGGAAAGACAAAGAACAAGACCTTAGCCAGCCTGCGTTCAGCAACCCTCAGGGGCTCTTTCATCAGTGCCAAGAAAACTCTAGGAACTCATGGCCTCCGTCGGTCATACAAACCTACTATTTTGTGCAGCATACCGGAGGGTAGAAGAGTCACTGGGGGCCTGACCTAGACTTCCAGCAGTGGCCCGTACTTCTCAGCACCCCTTACCCTAGACTAGACTAAGCCTTGCCCTGCTAGCACCCAAGGGCCTGGCATAGCCTCCCCACAATCTTGTCAGCTTGTTCTAGGCCAACACCTGCTCCATGGCCTCAGCAATCACCTCTGCAAGGCCTGGACCAAGTTCATCCCTAGCCACAACCCCGTTTTCCTCTCTTCCAGCGCCAGGTGCCACGGCAGCCAACGCAGTCCCCCTCTTCTCAAATCCATCCATAGAAACTGCTGACACCGAGTGGCTCTTTGGCTCTGGTCTTTTTGGAACCATGTCCAGATCTGTGTGACCACAGCAGCTCTGCTGTTGCTCCTGGGCCTCCTTTCACTGTGTCTAATTGGACACTCCCCCTGGGCCATACATAAACCTCCACAACTGGTGGCTGGTGCAGTGTGTCCAGCTGCACTACATTGTGAGCTCAGACAGCACACTAACCACATTCCTTCCCCTGCAAAACACACCTCTGTGGCTGTGAGAAGGTGTCAAAGCCAAGGCAAAGGTGTCCAAGAACTGGCAGACTGCAGTCTGACCCTGACTATGCCCAACCCCAGGCTTCCAACCCTGGTAAACTACTCCAAAACAGCCGCTTGGGCCTCCAGCTTCCCTCTTGCTCTGGAATGAATTCTGACACATCACAGCTCCTCACACACACACCTTCTGGGCATCTTGGCATGAAGTGGGCAGGGGAGGGGCTGAGGGGAAGAGTCAAGAAAGTGATTGCAAGGAATGAGGCCACCCACTTGCCCCTTGTTTTTCTGGGTTCATTTCACCTCAGCTCATTGAAACTGAGATTTCTACAAGCTAGTCTTAAAGAGAGGAGGCTGCCCTAGACTGGCCTTTCTGACTTTCCTTCTTAGGAGCCACGAGAGGCTGCCTAAGCCAGCAGGCATGAGCCTCTGGAGCACTGGGAAAGGCTGAAAAACAAACTCACCAGCATCCAAATCAGGAAAGCCCAGAGCAAGCGTTGCCATGGTAACCTGTGCAGGCTCCCAGCCTGGTGCTTAGCCTCTCTTGAGAGGGTTCCAGACTTGCCAGGCTTGGTTGGCCCTGCCTGGAGGTCTCCTCCTTGGGCTTGGCCTGGTTCCTACCTAGATACAGGAGAGGGGAATAGAGAAACACCTCTGCCCTGCTTCACGGGCTGGGCAGGTCTGAACTGTCTGTGCTCCCAACACTAGCTGTAAGATCACTTTTTTCCCAAGAATGAGGCCCACGCCTAAGGGTCAGTGCCCTGCCAACCACACCCAGTGTCCTCTCACACCCAAGCCCCAGCACCAGTGGCTCCAACAGCTGCCTGGCCACCTGCTGACAGAGAAGCAGCCTTACCAGGACCAGTGACCTTGAAACCATTCCTTAAGCATGAGGACAGCAGCACTGACATGATCCCCAGGCTCCCCCTTCCTTCCCCCTCCCCTCCCACCCTGGATAAGGAGCCTAGTGCTTTATGCCTTATGTTTGTTGCTAAAGGCACTCTCTTTGCTCAGAAAGTGACTTTTCAAAGTTACAGAACTACTGCCTTGAAAAGAATCAAAGACTTCCTACTTCTAAGCCCAGTCCCATTCTAGGAAGTCTGATACTGAATGCCTTGGGCCGACCACCCAAGCCTTACCTGGAGCCCATCACCAGGGGTACACTTACTACCCCCAGACCTCACAGGCACAGTCTTCAGCCCTCAGACATGGTTGAACCTAGTCTTCACAGACACACCAGAAATGGATCAGGCCTTCATGTCTCCATTTAATGGTCAAGCCAGCCCTGCTCAGATAAAGCCCATGTCCCAGTAGGGAAGTCCTCCCTACCACCCAATGTCCCATGAAGAGCCCACCCATGCTGGCATCCCTTGGCCTCCCTAGCAGCACTGTAGTCTAGTCCTGTAGTCAAGACCAGCTTCATCTCAGCTCCTTCAGCAGGCTGTTGATGGAAGCCAGCAGTTCCCGGAAGTATCCATCATCTTCACCTTCCTGAAGCTCCAAGGTGGCCAGTGCTTGGTACTCATCCTGAAGGCTGCCCAGCATCCTGTTGAGCTGTGGGTCCTGACGGTACCTATCACGGCAGGTGGCCAGAAGGGCACCTAGTGTCTGTAGTACCTTCTCACGGGCATCATGCTCAGGTAGTGCCAGAAGGTGAGCAGTGATCTCACACCAACCCTGTTCCCGCAGGCCTGGCAGCAGGTGCACCTGACGGTACTGTTGCAGCTTCTCTGGGGATGAATCCTGGGTCAGCTCTGCCTCTTCCTCAGCAAACATCTGCCCACCATATGGCCAGGTGCCAGAAGGGAAAGGTTGTTGGGAGAAAACACACAGAATGGTTAACTTACATCAGATGGCTCCTCTGTTCAGAGGCAAAAGCATGAGGCTGAGCTGTGAGGTCCACTCACTTTCTCCATGCTTTTGTGCCTCTAAGGACCTCCCAGGAAAAGGCCTAGACAATTCCTGCTTCATACATGCTCCCCCATCCATTCACTCATGACACTGAGCCAGGTGCTGGAGAAACAAGTCTCTGATCCCAAGGTATAGCAGGAGAATAAAAGTTCCTAAATAGCACAGTGAGATAAATCTAGCAGTATGGTGAGGAACAGACGGGCTGGACTCAAATCCCTGCTCCACCATTGGCACCTAGCTTCTCTGAGACCCAAGACCATCATCTCTAAAAGGGAGAAGAACATTGGTTGAATTATGAGTAACAGTCAGTACTTGGCACACAGCCACAGTCAACAAACATGAGCTTCTGCATCAAGTGCCGCAATCCCAAATGTCAGCTCTATCAGTGTTGTTGTCGTGTCCTTGTTGCTCCACTAGAGGCCCTTGAACAGTGACTGCCAGGGTGACTGTCAGGGCCTGGCAGATGGAGAAGATTTATGACTCTGGGTCATGACATCTTTAGTAAGTGGGAAGTGTACAGAAAACAGGGTGTTATGCCAGTCACACCAGAGGACTGCACGTACAGGCCTGGGTCCACCTTATGTTTAAAAAATGGCAGATCATTCTTGTTGAAGCAGCAGGGAGGCCTGTGGGCCAGGCTAGGGCCTGGGCTTGGGGAGTTAGGGAAAGTTTGGGCAGGGAATCACATGTTTGGCCTGAGTCTGTAAAGTGCAGAAGCTCAGCTTCTTCAGCAGAGCATGGTGAGAACCAGTCCTGCCAAGCTTCCAGGAAAGTTACCAGCTTATTTCAAATGTCAGAGGAGACTAGCGATTTCTCATAGAGCTGTAATAACTGTACCTCTGAGAAGCAAGAGTAAGTTGGAAAGCCCTGCCTCCAACATCCAGGGAGACAAAGAATAAGGAGGCCTGAAATGGAAAGAGGGAAAGCCAGGCAAAGACGAAGAGGCTGCCATGATAGCTCAAGGGTATGGGCTAAAAAGGGCTGCAGGCAAAGCCAGAGGGAGGCAGGCTTCTGTAGCCAGGGACAGGTAAAACAGAGGAACACTGTAGTCCTTTTCTACTATACCCACAAACCCCGCAAACTTCCATCTTCTAAACACAACCTAGCCCTCTCCCCTGCCTCTGCCCAAGTGTCCAGCCCCTTGCTGGTCATCTGAAGTGCCCCTCACCACTCACTCCCACTCTATCTTCCTCCTGTCCACTGGAAGCCTGTGCTGCCAGCTTTAGGAACTTCACCATCCTGGCACTTCTGATGACGAAGACTGGGACTTTGAGGTCCCACTGGCTCTTCCCCTGACTGGTTTAGTCCTCACACTCTCTTCTATCACCTGTCACTACTATTCCAAAAGGCTTCAGAGCCTCTGTGGGTGCAGCTATCATTTCCATACACATTACCACATGGCCTTGACTCTAGTAATGGTTCCTGACCCCCTAGCGCTCAGCATCACTGCAGCTGCCTCCCTGAACCTAGGATCCTCAGTGTATATACACAGGGAGATTATCTAACAAACCAGCTCCTTAGCCAGCACTGGATGAGGATACGCAGTAGATCACTTGTGGGAAGAACCATGGACAGAATCAGGTCCATGAGCAGACCAGAGGGAATGGGCCCACACTCCAGGTCAGCACCCACCTCGCAGGAGCCTTGATGTCAAGGTGTCAGGATTCCTTGGTGAGCCCAGCCTGGCTAAGTTCAAGAAGCCTGGGTCCTCAGCCACACCACTCCTAGGCATCTACCCTGAGCAACAGGAACTAGGATACAAGACACATGCACCTCCATGTTCATTGCAGCACTGTTCACAACAGCCAAGATATGGAAACAACCCAGATACCCCACTACAGATGAGTGGATACAAAAATTGTGGTACCTAGCCAGGTGCCGGTGGCTCACGCCTGTAATCCTAGCTACTCAGGAGGCTGAGATCTGAGGATCGCAGTTCAAAGCTAGCCCGGGCAGGAAAGTCCGGGAGACTTATCTCCAATAAACCACTAGAAAAATAGAAGTGGCGCTGTGGCTCAAGTGGTAGAGCGCTCGCCTTGAGCTGAAGAGCGCAGGGACAGCGCCCAAGCCCAGAGTTCAAGCCCCACGACCAACCAAAAAAAAAAAAAATTGTGGCACCTATATATAATGGAATATTATACAGTCATTAGAAAGGACAAAATAATGGCATTTGCAGGAAAATGGATGGAGCTAGAGCAAATCATTTTGAGCAAGGTAAGCCAAGAGAAAAGAGACAAACGGCACATGGTCTCCCTGATATGCAGATGCTAAAGCCAAAATGCAAGGAGATATGACAAAGTAAACAAGACTCAAGAAACAAAAGACATCCACTCATTTTGTTGTATCATTGCTAAATGATTCCATGTTCTTGACCACATATATGAGATATATATAGATATAGATATAGATATATATATATGCATACATCTGAGGGAAGCTAGAGGAGGATACAGAATCAGAGGGAAGTGGGAACACATATAACAGAGGGGCCCATCAGCTGCACTGGACATAGATGAAAATGAACTAAGCAACTCAAAGGCACCAATGGGAGGGAGGGAATGAGAGGGAAACAGCTTATACTAAGCAAAAGGAAAGAAATGTAAATATCACCTGATGTGGAATAAATAGTTGTATTTTCAAAAGCTCATAGAATTCACAAACTTTATAGACCATGAAAATGACAATTTGCCTTGTGAAGGTTAAAATGTGTTTGTAACTTTAAGAATCACTATTTCACATTACTGTGAAATTTATGTAATCAAGTAATCTCAATAAAAAAATTAGATAAAAAAAAGAAGCCTGAGTCCTGACCAACCCTCAAATGGGTAGCACATACTCCCCATAGGATTTTTTTGGTTCAGTTGCCATATCCCCACACTAATGCTTTTAAGATACATAGCACCTCTGTAGGCAGGCTGACATTTTCACCCACAGGCAGCTATGGATCCCAGGTTTGCCCTGGTTTGTCTTCCTAAGCAAACACAAGAGCAGTGACCTCTGATGGCCTCAAGTACCAGTAGCCATGAAGCCCTCAGGCTGGAACTCTGACCTCTCTTGAGGAGGATGACCATGTTTGTACTGTTCTCAATGACGATACCAGGTTCTTCCTACTGAGAAGATACCAACCTCCCCCATAGCTCAGGGCAGCTTTGATGAACCGTCCTCAGGGGTAGTGTTCTGGCAATGTAAGGGTTGTAGGGGCACACCAGAGAAAAAGGATCCGATTCTCCCAGAAAATGCCAATGTACATGTTTTCCTCCGGGCCCGCTGGCCCGCTGTCAGAATGTTAACTGTGCCCAAGCCTTATTAATTGGCTCTGAGTACCACATGGCTGCCTGCTGTTCTGAGAATCTGGGTTTCTACAGCTTGGACTGGGAGAGACCAGAAGCAGGCTGTGAGACAAGACAGGCTGAGGCAGGAAGGGGAGAGACTGACAGAGCAGGGCAGTGAGACATATCCCAGTCCTCTGCTGGGAAAGATGACGGGCTATGAGGGGTAGAGCAGAGCTCATACTAGGTAAAATGGAGGCTGCAGCTTCCCAAAGGTTCAGCTCTCTCTGGCCCTGCTCCACCAACCCGCAGCCAGCTGTTCTGGGGAGCAGCTAAGTGCCCTGCCCAAGGATCTCTACAGTAGCTGAGTGAGGAATCCAGGTCTGGCTGCTTCTCCTTTCTTCTCTCTCTCCCTTAATTAAGATGCTTCTCAGGCTTACAAAGACCCAAATGGGATGGACAAAGAGTCTCCTCCCAGGTGGCAAGCCTGGGGTCCCTAGTGCTCTCAAGTGAAGCCATTCTGAACCTCTTGTCCAGAGCTAAAGCTCCAGATGAAGCACCTCTGGGTTTCTAGAATGCTAAAAGTCAGCATTCCCAATCTGCTCCTTGGTCTCCTGGCTGCTCTGATGATTCCTAGGCTTCAAAGCTGCACCCCCTGCTCCTCAGCACCACAATTCTCTGCCTTCAGTCACACTGACTCCTTCCTGAGCCCTTAGCTCTGACCACAGAAAGCATCTCCATTCCCCATACCAGCCATCAGTTTCAGCTGAGATGATATATCCTATAGGAATCTTCCCTGATGTGGAAGTCCACCACCTGTTTGTTTATCCAGCTATTCATCTGGGCAAAAAGACAGATGAAAAAGATTTGGAAAGGGGCCTAGGTCAAACAGCAAGAGGCAAACATCCAGCAAAGATAGCAAAGTGAGGGGAAGCAGGGTAGGCCCCAGCACTCACCTTCTCAGTGACCAGGTCATAGAGCAGGGTGATTATGCGCACAGCCAGCACCTCTGTGCTCTTCTCTTGCACCAGACTCCTGAGGACCTGCAGTCCCCCCAGTTTCAGGAACTGTTGCTGGGCATAGGGGAAGTGGCGCAGCAGAGAACATAGTGCAAACAAGACCTGAGAAGCACACATGAGGGTCACATAGAGCTGGATCTGCTCCAAGGTCCAAAGAGGTAGCTAGGTTTGCCCCAGTGATGTATTCAGCTCATTCTGCCCCTTCCCCAACAGCTATGGGTCCAGCTACACTCCATAACCCAGGACGGTGAGCCCAGGTTGAGCCCAGATATGGCAAATGGTGGACAAAAGGAAGTCCAGGGCAGGAACCTGGAGATCGGGCTGAAGGCCATCCTGCCACAGCTGCACCCAGGTCTCCAGGCACCACGCATACTGCCATCTGCTTTGAATCTGAGTTTCCCAATGCCATCGAGCCCCAAAGGATGGCATGCATGGAAAGGAGCCTTTCCTTTCAGGCCCCACAGGTGTGCCAGGCACAGACAGTAGGGAGGAGCAGAAACTTACTTTCTTTTTGGCAGTGAGAGGCTGTTCTGTAGCCAAGATGACCAGTAGCTTCTGCAGGGCTCCCCCTTCAATGGCTTCCACCTGGACCTTTGGATTGCTGGGGGAGGAAAACACAGGAAAGCATGACCATTCTGCATGGACTAATGATCGGGGGATGGGGGGCGGCTATGGAGCTGACACCACTTGCCATCCCTAGAGAAAGGCAAGGAGCATAAAGAGCAGTTCCCACCAGCAAAAACAGATGAATGAGTATGGACCTGAGCTATAGGGTCATGCCAGCTGGCTCCCTAGCAGCAAGTGGGCTGGATGATCTAGAAGGTACATCACCTCTACCACCAGAAGGTCCTCCTCACACAGAGATGGCATTCAGAGGTGTGACTAAGGGTCCCTACTGCCAGAAGCCTGGCTCAGTGCTCCATGCCAGTGTTGTATGGTCCTTCTCCTGGGACCCCAGGCATGACATGCACTGGGAGGCAGTGACTAATGGCACTGTCCCCTCTAAGTGTAGAGCTCCTGGAGGCCAGGGCAGGGGCCCCTTCTTCTTCCTAGTACAGATGGTAGATAGAAGGAAGGATGGTGGAAAGCATGAACTCCATGATGCCTCTGAAGCTCCAAAGCAGATCTTCACACAAGACTACCCAGCATCTCCCTTTTACCCCAGACCCTCCATGCCCAGAAGAAGCCCTTCACAATAGGGATTGAATAAACACATGTACACAATCATAGATGTGTCAACACTACTAAAACACTAAAAACCCTGGCTTGCTGGTGGAAGTGATGCCCCAGGCACAAATATTTCATGCCTAGTCCCTCTGGATGAAAGAAAGGCCTTCTATTAGGCAGTTGCCAGGCCATGAGTAGCAACTCCAGCAAGATGGTTCCTTGCTTAGTAAGATCACATTAATGATTAAGGAGCATGCACTAGGTATAAAGACCTATGTAGTCGGGTTCTCAGGCAAGCTCAGGAGTCCTTGACTCAGCAAACCACTGGGGAAATCCCAGAAAATAGAAGGTGCCAAAGGGTGCCAGTCTACCACAGTCTCTGGGAGACTCTAGTTTTCCTACTTAGGCAGGGCCACAAACTTTCTGGAAGCCCCAAAGCACCTGTTCCTTTATACCTCAAACCCCTAAGCAAGTGTCCTTCTAGTGTCCCAAACAGGGCAGCAGGGCATAGGGAAGCAAAGACTAATTGGAAAGAGGTGATTCCTGGTCCAGAGTTCAGAAAAAGAAGGGAAAGACAGGCAGTGTACTGCACTGCTGCCCACAGGAGAGGCCTGACGTGTAGTACTCCCTCAAAGCTGGCTACATGGAGTAATGAGGGGCCAGGTCATTCTCAGACATGGCCTGTACCTTATCTTCCTACCAGGATCCAGCTCTAAGGTTGAGAGCAAACTTAGCAGGTGCAACCCAAGTTTTCCTGTTGCAGAATGGAGGCTTTGTCTCTCTGCAATCTTAGCATCCCCTTACCAGAAAGGGAGAATATTGCACATCCCATGACAATTCTGCCTTTGTGTTTGATGAACAGTCTGGAGGGAGCTGGAGTCCCAGGGCACGAGAGGCCGACAGTTCTTCTACAGACAGGCAGGTAGCCCAATGTAGGGGACCTGGGAGTGAACCCTCTCCCATGACTCACAAATTAAGAAAAGTAGCTGCTTCATCATTATGTGAGCTAACTAGCGCTGTCTCTGTCATCATGTAATTGAGGAATGCTCACCTATAACAAGCAGGATCTAGTAAGAGAAGAAACCCACACATTAAAATTCACACAAATGTCAAATGCTGCCTCTTAAAGAAGGGGGGTCTTCAAGGTCCAACAACACAGCCTCAAGGAGCACCTCGGAGGAGCTTCATCCCCGAGGGCACTTGAAGTAGTGGAGACAAGGCCCTCTCAAAACAGCAAGCAAAATCCATCACAGAACCCAGCATCATGGCCTCAGTAAACTGCCCAGGGTTGAGTAACCAAAACTCTTCCATTTATACACTGGAAACAGAACAGAGAGAAGTTAGGTTCTCTTCTTCCAAAAGTAGGCCAGTGTGAGCCAGGAGCTACCTGCAGCAATGCCAACCACAGCCTCTGCTCCTCAGACATACTCCAATCTTTCCCAAAGAAGGGAAATCTATTTAGAGTAGGAGATTATACATTTTGAACACAGGAGGTGTAAAGCCTGAAGATCTTGCATAAATTGCCGAAACCACTTTCCATAGACAATAAAACCCACTTCTCTCTCCTGCAGCAAAGTCCTAAAGGGCTAGGGGAATAAAACAGGATATATGAGCCCCATGTGGACCTATGGCAGAGCACAGACTGGCCTTTTTTATACAATGAACTTAAATAAGGTGTCTATACTAAGTCTGAAACTCACTTCGGGGTTCTTATGACCTAGTTAATTATTTATTATTAGTTTTATTTAGATTTATTGTTTTATTCACTTATTTATTATTTATATTTTTATTAATGTTTATAGTTATTAATTGGCTTAATTAGCTATTACCTATTAATTAGTTATTTAATTATTAGTTCATGCTTCCCAGTGGAAGGGTTGAGGGAAGAGGATGGGAAAGACCAGGCCTGAGTTTACAGATGGCTAGTCCTCTGTCTATCCAGGCAGGGAAAATAAGCTGGGGTTTTCCCGTTCAATCTGCCAGATATCATCCTACCCCCAGAAACAGACCCTTTCCTCTAAGCAGCTTAACCTTCAGTGTTCATGGTTGTGTGAGTGGAGGGAGATTCTTAAACAATCAAAGTGAGGTCTAAGGATATATAAAGCTCCTGGAAGATCTTTAGTGAAAATACTGTTAATAATAGCTGATGACCTGGGGCAAATCTATTGATGACTTCCTGAAAGGGGAGACAGAGCTCAGACAACCTTGGGTTAAAGACAGAATGGCTAATTGATGCCAAAATGCTAGTCAATTCTGTGGTCAAAAGACTGCAATTGTAGTGAGGTTGCTATACAAAGGGCTGATGATATCCTAGAGAACACAGATGTCTCAACCACACACATACCAGCTCTATCCCTCCTCAGCCTAGAGGCTCTGGACCAGAGAGCTTCAGCCCAGGCCTGGAAAGGGCCCATCCTGTTGTCAGATGATGGGTGCCCTGACAGCTGGGTATCTGAATGGAGAAAGGCAGGAGCCTGGCTTGGTGACATCAGTGATGCTGATGTGCTCAAAGTCAACAGAGGGATATTAAGAACGTAGCTCATCTCTGACACGATAAATGAGAATAAACCTTGTTCAGGGCTAAGCCAGCCGGGCTGAATAAATACCATTAGTACTTGGATTACTGGGATGTTCACAATCAGCGGGCAGCTCAGCTGTCTGTGTGAAGAGGGACCACAGCAGCTGCTACTCTGTAAATCTTAGGGACAGGCATGCAAGGAGGATGGGAGTAGATTGTAGAAATGAGAAGTGATTGCATTTGCAAAAACCAAACAGTTTAGGTTAGAGTGACAGCATTATGGGCAATCTGCTAAGGGTCCAAAGTCATATTTTAGCTAAGCTGAGCATGTGCTGGAAAGGAGCGGAGTAGAAGAAATGGCTTTAGGGGGTAGCCAGACTGGGCCAGAGGCACGTTAAGAATACTTCCGGACATAGGTCCGGAGCCTGACATTCTCCATCATTGTTATTTAAGATGCGTTGCTTCTTTTTCAGTTTTTATATTCAGATTTTATATAATTTTCAATTTTTATATTCAAGTGCAATAAAAATGTAAGGTACTTTGTTAGAAGATTATTAGAAATTTTGAGATAGCAAAAGGAGTACATTGAATGTGGGATACTGTGCCACTATATAGATCACAGAGCCACTGTGGTATGTATACAACTATGCTCAGGGGAAAATCAGAATAAGTACTGAAAAGTGAGTGTGATTCAATTGGAAAGAAGAAAAATGAGAAAAGATTGCCCTTGAAGAGGTCTGGAATGGGAAATAAGGCAGAGGTTAGACAGGAGCTAGCAAAAGGTTCAGGTAAAATCATGCAGTACTTGTACCCACCAGCCATCCAGCCCGAAGGACTCCTTGCATGTCAACAGGACACTGGACTCACATCAAAAGGATGTGCTCTCTTACAAGGCCTCATGACATATCTAAGTGAAGTGAATATTCCTTTCCTTAACACAATAATTGATTCCAATAATGTCCTTTTCAGAAAAATAATTTGGGTCCAAGGTCCATACAATGCAGATAGTAGCACATTTCCTTTAGTCTGGAACTCTTCCTCAGTACTGTCTTATCTTACAAGACATTGATATTTAAGAGTGTGAGCCACTTGTAGAACATACCTCAGTTTGGGTTGTCTAATGTGTTCTCATGATTAGACTGTGGTTATGCATTTTGGCAGGAATACCATAAAACAATACTGTTTCTTTCTCAGTACATCATGTCAGGGGACATATGCTGTCAACCAGCCCCAAGACTGGTCAAATTCACTTGGAAATCTTGGTTGTGAAGGTAACTGCCAGATTTGCCACTATGATGAAAATATTCCTTTGAAATAAATATTTTGTATGGAGTTTGAGATAGTATGCCAGCCTGTTCCTTATCAAATGTTCACTCACTAGTTTTAACATTATTGCCTAATTATTAGTGAGACTGTCAAATGATGATGACCTAAATTCTATTGCTTCTCTATCTGCTAGCACTCTACTTCAAATAACAAATTTTCCTTATTCACTCACTTGCATCAGTATGAATTTGTGGATTCTTATTTAGTCTATGGGATATAATCATCTCGACTCTCTAATTTCCTTGAATTAATCAGCAGTGGGTCTTCATTATAGTATTAGGAGATTCTGTCAAATGTTTTCCTGAAATACAGACTTTTGTGGTTCTATCATTGGCCTTATCTCCGACTAACAAATCTTTCTGTAAAAGAAAATTAAAAGTGGAAAGGAAAATGAGGGGGTTCCTGGGGTGCTAACAATGTTGTGTTTCTGAACCCAAATAGTGACTATATGGATGTGTTTGCTTTTAGCAACTCATCAAATTGTTTTTTGTTTGTTTTTAAATTAAGATTGATATGTTCTTCTTATGAGAGAGATAGGGAGGAAAGAAGATGAATAGATTTAATCATGCAACTACTCTATGAGACATATA